CTGCTGAAGCCATTTCTCTGTTTGGCTCCACCTCCAGTGGAAGCCATTTTGGGGTGGCGCCCACCCCTGTCTTCTCAATATCCCAAAGGCGCCGGCAGGCTCAAGGGGGATCCCTGCTGCTTTCTAGTGTAGTACAATGTGGCTAACAAGGACTAGCTGGAACTCTGGAGTCTAGTCCTGGGACTCTGGTCATGCAACGGCCACCTGCGTGTGCCGCCTGTGCCCCAGGATTTGGTCATTTTTTTGATTTCGTTAGTTGTTTTTAGGGGAGGCTGATCCTTCACAAGGGGCTATAAGCCATTGAGACAGGGGAATCACTCCCTTTATTATATTTAAGAAGGCATTGGTCATGGTCTTTCTATATTGCCATCACAGATTAAAGTAAAGGTAAAGGTTCCCTTGCTCGAAAGCCAGTCGAGTCCGACTCTAGGGTTGCGGTGCTCATCTCCGTTTCAAAGCCGAAGAGCCAGCGCTGTCCGAAGACGTTTCCGTGGTCATGTGGCCGGCATGACTAAACACCAAGGCGCACGGAACGCTGTTCCCTTCCCACCGAAGTGGTCCCTATTTATCTACTTGCAATTTCTTGCTTTTGAACTGCTAGGTTGGCAGGAGCTGGAACTAGAGACGGGAGCTCACTCCGTCTTGTGGCACCCGGGTCTCGAACTGCTGAACTACTGACCTTCCACAGCCTGCAGATCAGCGTGTTAACCACTTGAGCCACCACAGATCACAGATTAGCTATTGGCAAAAGTCTGCCTTGCTCCTCTTTGGCAGACGGCAAATCATTACAAAGAGGAAGAATTTTTAACTTGCTCTACCAAAGGGGTGTACTTTTGAAGTCATTGCAACTCTTGTCTAGCGTTGCTGGGGCACTCACTGAAAGAGCTCCTTGAAGTTCAGCCACCCGTCCCTCCGGCCTTCAGAGACCAGCAGCTTTGTCCTCAGAAAGGGGCAGGATGAGGAAATGGAATCCACCGCCGGGGCCAAGTCCTCGCTGGTAATAATACACTTGGCCTTGGAAGCCTGGAGTCGGTACTGGATGTCTTTGGCTGTCAGCAGAGGTGTCCCCGGAATGAAGACAATCCCTAGAACGGCAGTGAATGAATACAATGACCTTGGGGACCAGATGTTTATTAGATGTTTTCTTTTAATCCTGCTCTTGGCTAATACACGAGGCAATGGAAGTTCAATACCAATCGCTCTTCAGGGAGGGGATTCTTGGCTGAGCTGGATTCAGGCACGTTGGAGAGATACCCGGCTGCCTCCTAACTTCCCTGTAATGGCCTCAGTGATCCAAAAGGATCTTGGGGATTGCAGGTGATTACAAACTGCACGTGAGTAGAAAGGCCAGTGCAGCTTGAAAAAAAGGGCCAATGTGATTTTTGGCTCCTTTAACAGAAGCACAGTCTGCAAGGTGCAATAGTTCCACTCCAGTCCACTCCCTTCTGGCTTGCAAAAAGATTAGGGGGGTTTACAAGGACGATTCTCCCCCATGATAAAATCTCACAGCTGAATATAATGAACATGCAAGGCTAGGTCCTACAACCTCTGTTCCTTACAGGGGTTGAATCCCACCTAAAGTTTCTTTCTGTGCAAGCAGGTGTGTGTATGATTTTCGCTAGTTTCCCCCCTCCCGTAGCAGCCCTGTGACTGCCACAGATATTCCACATGGAATATTTTGGGTTGCAGGGGGAAATGGGGAAGTCACACCTCTGCGGATGAACATCGTTCTATTTGCAGAAATTGTAGGCAGGATCCAAGCCGCTGTGCCCCGTTCCGGTTGCTGCACTTTAAAAAACGTGTAAACAGACTGCGAAAAGTTCAGCACAGGAATGGGTTGGACCAGGGATACGCAGACAAGGAAGGGAATGGGAGGAGAGCCAGTGCAGATGCCCCCTCCTGTCATTGTCCAGACAACCCCATTGTCACCTGTCCTGATGCATGCCACATTCAGCAGCCACCATTCAGGTACTCGGGGCAGAATGAGGATCACTCTGTCGCCTCTTTGCAGACCGCACGGATCCAGGAGGAGGTTGGCGGCTTTCCTCGACAGGGCCCCCAGCTCTTCGTAGCTCCACCTCACTTCCCTCCCTTCCCGTTGATCCACCACAAAGCGGGGTTAGGAGGCCTGCTTCCCTCCTGCAACACAGCATTGTCAGAGATCAGCTTCACAGTTCGCTGCAACTTAAAAACGAGCACGGTGGAGGGCTATGAGCCACGAGGGCCAAATGGGACTTGGAGACATATATTTATTTATTATTTATTTATTTTTCACATTTGTATCCCGCCCTCCCCAGTGGGCTCAGGGCGGCTAACAAGGGCAAGGTGATTCGCCATGCCATAATTAAAAACATATCAAACATCATAAAAACATCCGACACTTAAAACAACGGTGCTCAATCAATTGCTGGTCTCATACGTCCA